GGGGGGGAGATGGAAGGTTATATAGCGTTTTTTTTGTATAACTACCATTTTTATCCGATTTTATGTACCACATACTGCATAGAATGGATAACACCAAACACAAGATTTCAAGCACAGAGTTGATACCCAAGTAACAGTATGATATTTCTATTCCCTATTCCTATCCCATCCCTATCCCCTCATATACCCATTTCTTTCATTCTTCTCATTTTCATAGTTTTCGTATCTAATCATATATGTTCATACACCAACACGCACACACAAAAATCTATAAACATGCAAGGAGTTGAGTGAACCCAAGCAAAAAAAAAGGAACGTGGGAAGTGTAAATAGAAAAAGAACGAAAAGAAAAAGCGCCGTGCCCAATGCCGCTGTGCATGACAATGCCAAACAAAGACGCTAAGTTTATGTAATAGTAAAGTGTGCGGATACAGAAAAAAAAAGAGGTTGCCTCTAAACAAAAAAGCAACAGTACAGTAAGTAGCAGCAATCTGACCAGAAAAGAAAAAAACAACAACAAGCATTGTAAACAAGGTACGATGCAATGATGCAGTATTGTCTAAAGAGGCAAAAGAAACGGAGTGTACCACTTCTCACACACTTGTGTCTCTCCACTCACATGACCTAGTCGTCCATATCACGCGACATGCCAGCCTGGCTTCCCTCAAAGTTCCTCACCTTTTGCGCATGATTAAAGCTAATCATACTGCGCATCGGGTTCTTGCGCGCAGCACTGACCATGCTGGGGGAAGGAGGATGTCTGGATGCACGCACGCTGCCGGTTCCGTACTGGACCTCGTCGAACAAGTGATCGTACTGTCCTTGGGTCAGGCTATCCTTGCGAGACTTGCCAGATGAAGATGAGGATGATGTTTTGACGGGGCGTACAGTAGAGACTTCGCTAGGTTCGGATGCGTGAGCAGCTTTGGACTTGGAAGACCGGGAGGAACGGTGGGGACGCAGAGATTCATCATCTTCAGCCGAATCAGGGGTCCTATGGGAACGAGAGCGATGAGAGCGCCTGGACGATTTGCTGATCGTGGATTCGTCGTCATCAGTATGCTTTTTGCTGCGGTGGGTGGTCGAAGACTCGGCGTTATCGGCGTGCTTCCTGCTGCGGCGGCTGACAGAGGTTTCGGCATCGTCATTCTCCTTGCTCTTGTGACGGTGGGATCGGTGTCTGCGGCGTGGACCATCGCCAATCTGCGAGATGCTGTCACTGGGCACCACAGTGTCGAGATCATCTTCAGTCATGTCGTCAAAGTCGAAATCATCGATAAAGTCCTCATCTTCTTCTTCTTCTACCACCTCTTGGGTCTTGGCCTTGTCACGTTTGAAGAGATTGCTGACAATTGAGGCAGCCTTGGACGGAACCTTGGGAGGGACCTTGGATTCAACTGGTGGTGGAGAAGTATCACGCTCCCTGCGACTGCTAGTGTGCTTGCTATGCGATGACTTTGCTTTTGATCTGCTTGTGTGATGCGAACGAACGCTACCCGCAGCGCTCTGCATATCCTCATCGTCGGCGACAAAAGACGAGATGAAGGAGCTGGCCGCAGCACTTGGAGCTGCGCTGTACGCCTTGGAGACGACACTGTGAGACTTGTGTGGCCGTGGTGGCTTCAGAGACGAAGATGTTGGCTCTGGCCTGGCTGCCGACACTGTGCTCCTTGCTTGCTCCCTTGCCTGCTCAAGCATCAACAAGTCGGGGCTAGTACTGGCACGGTCAGATGCCCTAAGCCTTGAGGGAGCGGCTGAGGGTGCACGAGAGTAGGCCGGCGCATACTCAATCTCGAGCGGCTTTGCATACTCGAGGGCGCGAGCCTGGGCAAGGGCACTTGGGGCACCGAACTGGGAAGGCGAGTAGTAGTCGGCCGGGGCAGCCTCGATTTGGCGAGGGACCGATGACCTTGGAATCTGAGAGGCGCGTGAATAGGTCGACCGCGCGTCGTCGTTGTCATCGTTGTTGCGGTGTACTGATGGAGCAGGTTTTGGCGGAGCGGTCGTCTCAGGTGCGGGCTGTGCGGGCTGCGCTGGCTGAGCTGGCGGTTCGGGTTGTGGGGTTTGCTGGGGTGGTTCAGGCTGCGCCGGGGTCTGAGCGAAAACAGTTGCCGCAGTCTTGACCGCGCTTTTGGCATCGAGGAAAGCGTTGAACTCGGCCTCTTTCTTTGCGCTGTCACGCTCACTCCGGGCGAATGCATAGGCAACAGCAGCTCCTGCAGCGGCTCCAAGAAGTGCGCCAAAGAGTTGCTTGCCGGCACCTTCACCGGACTCGGATTTGGTGGCCTGCTGCTGAGGGGGGGAAGACATGACGTCGTCTGCAGAGAAACTTCGGACTACAGTGGGTGGTTTTGCAACAGCTGGCTCGGCCTGTTGTGGTGCGGCAGTCGTATGTGCGGTCCTCGAGGCAGACGTGTAGGTGTTGCTGGTAGAAGAGCTTTCGCGGTAGGAAGTGGAAGTGGAAGTGGTGGTGGTTGTGGTGACTGTTCGTGACCACGTGATGATTCTGCTGTGCTGGTAAACAGTGCCGTCTTCTGCGATGTCGGGCCCGTTGCGGTAGACAGCCTCGATGCTATTTCCGTCAAAGTCAAGTACTGCAGCGTTGAAGTGGCCTGTTTCCGTGCATCGAGTGGCTGGGCTTCCGTTGGGGCGACCGCCAGCTTTCAATGCTGCGGTGTAGAAGTTGCGGACCGCGGTTGTGCTGGGAGCGGTGAAGGCAATGTGTGCGGCACCAGCCTTTACGCTACTAAGGAGTTAGTTGCGGTGTACTTGATAGACATGGGCTGATGAATTGTGGTTCGTACCCAGGCGTCTCTTGGCAGAGGAAGAAGTCGGCATTGTGAATACCTAGTCCGATCTGGTGGCCAGACTCTCCAATGTAGCGGTAGCCCAGGGGCTGGAGCGCCGAGAGAAAGAAGGATGTCGAGGTTGGAAGATGGGTGACTGTGAGGCCTATGTGGGCGACGGGCATTGCTGGGGGTGGCCGTGTGGATGAGAGTATGTATGTACACAGTGGGGATGTAGAGTAGTGAGGTAGAGGGTGAGGGAGAAGGTGGGGGGGTTCAGAATTTGGTTGTTCAATGTCAATGTTTTTGGGTGATGGCAAGGCAAGTCGAGCATCTGTACCGGGTCGTGGTACGGCGTGGAGGTTTATATCACAAGTGACGCGGTGCAGGAGCCGTGTGTGGATGCGTGGTGGAGGGAGTATAGCACAGCGTCCGGGTCCGGTTGGCTGGCCTTGCGGAAAAGGCAGTGAGTGGTAGTGTCCAGGGCACCCACAGCTGCAGGCGGGAATCAGGGAGGCCGCTGTCAACAAGTCGAGATGCTGCCACATGTCCTGCGTCTGCAGGCTAACAAATTTGTAAAGGTAAGCGATGCAGCAGTGGCGGGTATTGGCTACTGACCGCCGGCCCGCAACCGCGAGTGGTTTAAGCTGAGCGCACGCTTCACTACGGCCATGACGCTGCGCTGCAAATGCCTCTGTGCCTCTCTAGTCGCTTGTCGCGTGCGGTCGACTATTTGCCGTCTGCGGTCTGGACACACCATCGCTCGCCGCACTGGGCGCTATTTGCTATGGTCTGACGTCGTCGGCGACGAAACGGGGCGGGCTTTGCTGTGTGGTGTACAACCAAGGCCCAGAACGGCAACCCTGGTGAGGCGGTCACGGGGTCGCCCTCACCGCGCCCTGATGGTGGCGGTCGCTGGCAGAGGTCGCGTCAAGCTGCCTTGTAGTTGCTTTTGGCCATGTTCGCTGAGCATCGTGGGAGATCGGCGATGGCATGCGGCTCCCGGCCTCTCCTCACCCAGCCCGTCACTCTCCCGCCGCATGCGCGCCGACGAGCCACCCATGCCGCCCGCCCTAGTCCCCAATCAGGCTTAGCCCCTCGTACATGTCACAGAGGGGTCAACGGCTCTCAGTGCGAACATGACGTGAAGGCGTTAACTTTTCTTTTCATTCGCCAGCAGTTACATTGCTGACACTCCTGATCATCGTGCTCGCCATGTCCATCGCCATCTATCTATGCTACACACGTACACGTCCTGACAAAAGGAGCCGCCATTACCTACACCCACACAAGTAGAGCCCAATATCCAGCCACACATAAGCCCACTGCCAACACACCACTCGGTCGACTGCGCCACACTAGACACAAACAAACAAAAAAAGTGAAAAGAAAAACCAAAGAAAAACACGAGGTGCGGGGCAGGTTGAGCTGCCCTGCTGTCTTCCAAAGAAGACCGATGTTTGTGCGTTGAGCCAGAGTAGTTGTTTTGTTGTAAAAGAACCTCAGGCACCCGCCCAAAATCACATGCAGTAAGCGTTCCGGCTGTCGATGTTGTAATCTAAGCCCCAAACTGCCTCTGCCCCGTATCAATTTCCTAGTCCTGCGGTAGTCCGGTCTCCAATCCGACTCGTCGACCTTTTTCTTGTTGCTGCATATGGGCATGTTGGCGTGTTGGCCATGGATAGGTCCCTCCCTTCGGCTGGCCACTCATCTAGAAGATATTCCACACGTCCTCGGCCGCATGGCAGAACTTACTGCACGCAACGCTGGCACTGAGGTTGAACTGACTAATCGCGATGCTGTCGTCCTTGATGTCGTCGGCAAAGTCGTCGTTGCCCTTGGCCATGGCACCAACAAACACGGCAATGCTCTCGCCCTTGTTGAGGCTTCCAATGTAGTCGCTCACTCGCACAACCTCCGAGTCAAAGCTGAGCGTTACCTTTCGGCAGTTTGGTGGTAAGTGGTCTGTGATGGGGTTCTTGATCACCTCAATGAGCTTCTCTTGCGATGTGGTTGACCGGATCTGATGTCTGTGAAGCAGCTGCACCATGAGACCAGCAAATCGCTTAAACGTACGCGGAATGCGCACGGTAGGGCTGACCCGGATGAGTACGTTCTTGGACGTGTGGATGTAGATCTGAAGCCTGCCCGCCTTGTTGATTGGCGAGTCAAGTAGGGTGAGGAGACACTGCGTCGCCACGTTAGCTGATTAACACCATTAGCCTCCTCTTGTACGCACTTGGTGTGTAATGTCTGGTCGAGCCTCGCTGATGTCGCGCCCCATTTTCCGCATTACGCCAATGTGGTCGTCACTGTTGAGCAGGTTGTATTTATCCTCGCGCGCACCGGGTCCTCGGCCATTTCCATGTGACGCCTTGTACGTCTCGAGTGTGGCGCTGCAGAGCACGACAATCAGCCGTTGTGTGTCCTTGTCGTTGGTGGGGATAGGAGCATGTTGCTCTGCCACCAGTCTCGGCAGCTCTGGAGGAGGCATCGACTGTGTTCCTGCGGGTAGTACGGCAATATTAGCCTTGTCCTTGGTCAAGAAGTAGCAGGAGCAGCATGAGGAAGAGGGGTAAGAGCAATCGGGAAGCAAGCTGTCGACATACTTGCGCGCTTCTTTGCCCGGTCGGGTGAGCCACGCGAGGAAGGTCTGTCGACTGGCGATTTGGGGCTTCCAATCTTCGCGGGAGCCATGTTGAATTTATGTGCTGAAACAAGCAAGTCCTGCTGCTGTGGGCGTATGTTACTGGTGGCGGCGGAGTAACTGTGGGAATGCGCCAACGCGGTCAGGTAGGAGAATGGGTCCTTTTGTCGAGGTATCTACAAGTCAGCAAATCCGAAAACAATTACACAGATCAAGTTGTTTGTCTTATACAGGTATGTCAACGCAGTTGAGATGGAGATAGAGTTGATATAACCACGCGTTCTTTTTGAGCAGACTGTTGGTGAGGAGAACCTTTTCTCTCGGCCGGCCAATCACAGCCAAGCCGAGCCGGCGCTTACGTGAGAGCCTTTACTAAGCCCATACCATGCTAGAAGCAGCAAAAGCTGCTCGCATCACCTGTATCTTCGGTAACGCCATACTATTAAACCATATTATTCGGCTGGTTTCTACTGGACTTCGCTCAATTTCCCTGGACTTGATTGTCCTCAACCGGACTTTGCATAGACCAAAATAGTTGTGATGTAGCCCACATCGTCTATCCACAATTCTCCGAGGCAACCTACCACCGTAATACCGGACTCGGAGTTTGGTTTCACATTTATCTTACCAATTGTAAGCAGCGCCGGCGACCTTTGCCCTAGGCAGACTGTACGCCTAAGGCGAGCTGTCATTCGTGCCCCGGAGACGTTCGGGTCGAAGCTGGCGGTTAAAGCAGGTCGGGTTTAGAGCATACTATCGGTAGTAACCGACGTGGTGCGGGAAACTCGGACTTGATGGGATCCACAGGCGTGGGCCTTCGATGCAGAAGCCCTGTTGTGGGCCGGCTCGCAGTAATTATGCTTGGGCTGAGCATTGCAAACTTCTGCAACGAGAGCGTCTCACCATGGTCTCTTGGCCCGCCTTGAATTTGAAACATCCACCATATCGCACAATCGCCTCACGTTGGACATGTCGCCATACGCAAGGCGTATGGCTTCTGAGGTAAACATCATGCGAGCGGCCAAGATTTCCAAGAGGTCAGCTCATGGGCGAAACGACGTGGGTTTGGCCGACGCGCCGTTGCCGTGTGCCTGTCAGTGGAGATACATGAACGCTAGCTGTCGCACTCTCGCGATACTATCTCGCAGCTGCCCAACAAACATCACGTTCACTTACTTTTGATTCTTCACCACATCGCCGGCGATATCTTTTTATTTCATTCCCTTTACTGGCAGCCGGCTGTCCATCTTCCCCGATTGTAATCACAAACCTTGCCATTGTCCCCGCAAACTCCAACGTCAGCCTAAGCCAAATCTGTCCGACACCAACAAAAAGTCCCCGACAAATACTCCTTTCAGAATGAGTTTCTCGTGGCTCGCACCAATCCTCACACCCGCTGCGCTACGCTCAGTAGAAGCAGACGGCCGACCAGTCATTACACTATTCCTTGTCATCTTCGGCCTCTCGGTTCTCGGCGCGGTGATCTGGTATGTCCACTTTGTGACATCCAAAATGTACCCGAAGAAGAAGGAAGCGAAGAAGGGAAAGATGCTCGGCTTTATCAAGCGGTAGAGCGGGCAAAGCAATCAGGAAAAAAAAGAATAAGGGTCCGGTCCAAGCATCCCAAGCATCGCTCTGATCGACCCTCCCCACACGTACATTTGTCATCCTCGTGGCTGCAGTGTCCTACGGCTACTACAGCGATTTTCATTTTCAAATACCCCCCTGGAGTGTCGACATGCGCATATCTCTCCGTCGAGTCTTTTCTTTTTCAGCAGACATATCCTCCATCATCTCCGACCACTTTTCTCCCGCGCGACAAATTATCTTCCGACTGGCATGTAAAAACTGCGTGCGTGTCAACCCGACTTGGATGCAGACAGTCAAGCAGGCTTCAAGACTACTTTGTACCTTATTCGCAAAACGTCTTGTGATACTTTCAATATAATACATATTTTTTTTCATCTCATCGAGCATGTGTTATTACCAATTTCAAATAACTATGTGAAGACGAATTACATCAGCGGCCATGCTTACCTCCAAACATGTCACAGTACCTTTCAGTATGACCTCTACATGACCACTTCACTACCCTCCCTCAACGGTCCAAAATCGCCATCATCACCGGCGCTTCGTGAGGGCATCGGCGCAGACTTGGCGTTAGAGTTGGCGCAGCGATGGGAGCAAAGCAGAGGCCAATTGCCCGTTTATATCCAGTCAAACCATATTTAACTGCTGACATTCCTGACAGGTTACACTTGTATACATATTGGGGGCTGGAAGCGAGTCACGAGAGAAGTTTGCATATAAGATTTGGCTTGGTGGACAAACGGTGGCGTATCAACGATTTGTCCAAGCCCAATCTCAAGCACATAGATGCACCCACGAAGACTTGTAGCCGCGGGGAGAAGAACAGGGGTTCGAGACAGCATTTTGTGTTAGTAACGCTGGCGCGGTATTCAACAAGTCTGTACGTGGTGAACACAGCACAATACCTACGCCTCAATCTTCCACGCAGTCATCCTCCTTACAGGAGCCCATAGTGCCAACACCGGCGACAGAACAGGTAAACACGATCGTCCCATCAGCGCACGGCCACGTTTCGCCAACCCGTTCGCTTGCACGCAGGTCTGCCAAAGCCACACAACTCGAAGGAGCATACGCGCAGTTTCTAGCGCCGCACAAATTGAGGCTGGTGCAACGAGCGTGCCGTCAATGCCGTTTTGCGCCCCTCCCTGGGCCACATCGAGTCGGAGATGGCTGAGAAGACGGTGAGCATCAGCGAATAGGGTGGGCGGTAGAGAGGATGTTGCAGAGACTGTGGCAGGGCGCTGTGGCGGAGGGCGCAAAAAGTGGAGTTTCGGGACCAACTATTTCCGCAAGCGGGCGGTTTCTTCATGCTGTGGGATGGAGACCTGTCATTGTTTTGGGGAGGGCGCGGCTTCGTTGTTCTTTCAATGCTCTACTGGTGCTAGAGTGGTAGTGGTAGGAGTGGTGTTTGGGGGTGTTCCAAGACTGGAAATGTTTGGGTGGAGAAGAGGATATGCTGTTGGTCGGATATAGTTGCTTGTAGTTGTGAAGGGAAGGTAGCGCCGTAGTACGGCCGGTGAAACATGCAAAACATAGCGGACCGTCGTGCAAAAGTCGGGTTTGGTAGTGGTGGTGATGCCGCTGTGCTGGGTGTGGGCCGTTGCGACGTGGGTGTATGTAATCGTATACGCCCGCTCGAACAGTCCATGCTAACCACATGTACTTGGGTATGTATCGTCGGCTTTGTGTAAGTATGGACCGAGGCTAGATCTGGAGTCGAGACGACTAGTCCCCGCTGTAAGATCAAGATGGTGTTAGTAGGTGGCCTGGGGCACCCGCCGTGGTACGACGCTTCAGCCAAGGCATCCATCTCTTAACATCGGCTGTCACTTGCAACCAAGTCGGACCATTCTCATAGCCCACGAAAAGCTTGTGTTCTCGTATAATACATACTACACATACATGGACAAGACATTCGGGCCAGAAGCGTCGGAGCAGCCAGCAACTGATGGAGTCAAAGGGCTGGTGGTTATGCGTCGGCAGTTGAGGCTCGCCCACTTGGCCGATCAGGGGCGCCACATCGAGCCGCCGGGCTCTAACGCTCTGTGTTTTAGCTTTGGCCCCAAAACGCCTCTCAAACGTCCCCCTTCAGCCTTTCCCATGCCAAAGACGAAGATTCATGGCCGCCCGGGTTTCAGACCCCCCGCTTGGCATCTCTTGCACTCGAATCCGTCCATAGTCGCCCTCTAATTGGCTAGTCTGCCCGTTCGCGACGCCTGCTCTATGGCAGCACCGTGCTGCGTCGCAACAGAGGCCATTCAAAGTGGTTCGACTTCTGCTACCGTTTCGCCTTGTTGGTCCCAAAGGGCCCTGGGATCCCCATCCATTCCCAGCGTCTGACTAACTGAGACCCCATTACCCACTTGCTGCTGGCTCTGTCGACATGACCTGACCTACCCTATCCCCGTCATTGCCGCTTTGTCCCTCTTTTTGCTCGTCGCCGCTGCACACTGCTGGCTTATAGACTTTTGTTTCCCCGACTCGCCCCTAGACTCACCCGACTTCATGCCGGTTCTTCCTTAGCCGCGTCATCCAACGCCTCTCTGCGAGCTCTTCTCTTCTTTTTGTGCGGGCACTTTTTAGTACGTAGGCGTGTGTTGTCGTTGTCGAAGTTGCTGGACCTCTCGAGACTAATGATATTGCGCATCCAGATTACTTAGACACTCTTTGAATTTACGAATTCTCCACTCGGCCACATTCAGCAGGTCTGAAGCCCATCGGCATCCACCGACAGGCGCTCTACGGTTACTGCACTCTCGCTCCACATAGTAGTCATGTCCTTCACTACCAGTTTAACGGGCCGCGAGCGGTCAAGATGGCCGCCCCTTACCCGCATGCTCATGTCTGGCGAGATGTCAGATGAAAGGGCGCGAGAGTTGACACGAAAAGAGAAGTTTGACGTCTGGATGGTCAACGAGGGTTACCGAAGATTGTGAGCGCGACTCTGCGAGCCGATTGGAGAACTTGACTAATAATCAGCTTCGTCTTTACTTTTGCCATTCTCCACGTCATGGTCTTCGTCTTTGGTATGATGAATTACGGACTAAAGGTAGGCATTCCTCATTCTGTACTTCTGCACACCGCGCTCACGTAACAACCTAGGACAATGTCATCGCAGTGAGACAAACCTTTGGCCTGACCTACCCCATCGCTCGTTCAGCAGCTCTTGTGCTCCACGTCGACGTCGCTTTTATTCTGTTCCCAGTATGCAGGAACCTAATTTCCATGGCTCGTCGTACGCCTCTAAACGACGTAATCCCCTTTGACAAGAACATCACCTTTCACAAGCTTGTCGCTTGGTCCATTGTCTTCTTCTCCTGGGTCCACACCATTGCCCATTGGAACAATCTTGCCCGGTTCTCGGCCGTCAACAACCTCGGATTCATGGGCTTCATCCTCGCCAACCTTGCTACTGGTCCCGGTTGGAGTGGTTATGTCATGTTGATCTGTTTGATGGCCATCGCACTCACGGCAGCGGAAAAGGCTCGTCGCGCAAACTTTGAACGCTTCTGGTACATGCACCACCTCTTCATTGTCTTCTTCATCTTCTGGTCCATCCACGGAGCCTTTTGCATGATTCAGCCCGACTTTGCGCCTTTCTGCGACGGTATCGGTGTCTTCTGGGAGTACTGGATGTACGGTGGATTTGCGTACCTCGCTGAGCGTATCGCGCGTGAAGTCAGGGGACGACACAAGACGTACATTTCAAAGGTCATTCAGCATCCCAGTAATGTTTGCGAGGTCCAGATCAAGAAGGAGCACACCACAACCCGTGCTGGACAGTACATCTTCTTGTGCTGCCCTGAAATCTCCATCTGGCAATATCACCCCTTCACGCTTACTAGCGCACCCGAGGAAGACTACATCTCCGTTCACATCCGTATGGTCGGTAACTTCACCAAAGCATTCGGTCAAGCCCTGGGCTGCAGCACAGAGAAGAAGCCCGCAGGTGAGAAGGGTGAAAAGGGCATCTCAAGCGAGGAGATTGCTCTGCGCCAGATCCTCCCCCGTGTCTACATTGACGGACCTTTTGGTTCCGCTTCTGAAGACGTGTTCAAGTTCGAAGTCGCCGTCCTCTGCGGTGCCGGTATTGGTGTCACACCCTTCGCCTCCATCCTTAAGAGTATCTGGTACCGCATGAACTACCCCCAGGGCTCACGCACGCGCCTCCGAAAAGTCTACTTCTTCTGGATTTGCAGAGATTTCGGTTCGTTCGAGTGGTTCCGATCGTTGCTGCTTGCTATCGAGGCTCAAGATGTCGATGACCACATTGAGATTCACACTGTAAGTTCCTGTTCCCCTCTCACCACGCCCTATATATTGTCCAAGATGCTAATGACGATATAGTACCTCACCGCAAAGATCAAAGCAGATGACGCAACAAACATCATGATCAATGACGCAAACGCCGAACAAGACGCCATCACCGGTCTCCGCGCCCCTACAAACTTTGGTCGTCCAAACTGGGACATGATCTTCAAGTCCATCCGCAAAATCCATTCCCCCGCCGAGGCCGGTGTCTTCTTCTGCGGTCCCAAGGGTCTCGGTTCCACCCTTCACGTCAAATGCAACATGTACTCCGAGCCTGGCTTCAGTTTCGTATGGGGTAAAGAGAACTTCTAAGTCTCGTGTACCGCGACTCGCATCCAAGGAAACGATAGGATGGAAGGGAATTGTCTGTTGGAGGAGGAAGAAAAGAGTAAAGTGGATTCGAGATACCATAACCCATTATTTTTTTGATTTCTTTATTACTTTACGCGTTACTTACAAACCATTGGGAAGCGAATTTCTTGCAACCTTTATCTTATTATCCGTTGTATATATAGTAATTCGCTCATCTGGCATCACTACCACACCCCCGCCTTTTTTTCCTGTTATCGTCATTTGTTGTTATCGGTTTATTATGTTCTCAGACTTAATTCAACTCCCAGCTGCGAGTTCGGCTGCGATCAATGTTCATCAATGACCATCTTAGTAAAACATAAAAAAATGATATATAGATTCATACGTACATTCATATGCACAGTATAGTACATGAGTAATGCAATCATCTACAAAGATCCTTCTAGTAAAAGAAAAAAGGGGGGGGCAATAAACAGACTCTATTGATACCAAACCTCGCTATAGTCTATTATACCTACCAGATCTATATCAAAACCGCCCTTTCATTATACGCGCCAAATCCAGCCCAGCCCCCAAGCCACAGCCCCCAAGCCACCACTGCAACAAAAGAAAAGAGATCCCTAGGCATCTACGTCCCCTTATATCGGGCGCGCCTGGGGCAAAAAGAAAATCACGCCACAAGACCCCCCCGTTCATGCGGCGCTCAGAGTGCCAAGACACCCCTCGAAACAGCGTATGCCGCAACTTCTTTTTTCTCTCTCTCCCTTCTCTAGTACTTTCGAGCTAAGATGGCGGGTATTACCGGGCAAACTACTGTGGTACCTTGCATACGGCCTCCCTTGTCTCCCTTCCTTCCCTAACTCCCCTACCGACCCTCGAACCCCCCGGTCCCCCACCCCCGACGTCCTTCAAACCAGCGTTTCCAAGTACGAAGCTTACTGGATCCTTCTTCTTTGTCACTGCGGACAAGGGGTCGGTTAAAGTGGGGTCTAAACGCGGACGGTGTGACGCAAAGGAACGATGGTCAAGCTTTTTGTGTCTCGGGAGCCAAGAGGCTTGGGAGAAGTTCATGGGATATTTGCATTGAATTGTTTGGGCAGAGAATCTTCGATTCGATGTCATATCGAGGGCTTTTGACAAGGGAAGGGGGGTTGTGGGGCTCGGGCTTGTTATGGGTATTGCTCGTTTAGAAGGAGGGAGCTTCGCGAGGATTACCGCATTTTGAGGGCCTGGAACTGTGGAAGGACTAGAGTGGGGTTTTCCAGCCCGAGGCTTGCCAACTGGTGATGTCTATGAGGCCTGTGAGTTCTTTGACTCCGGGCTGTATTCCTTCGCCGACGGTTACGTCGTGAGCGCCTATTACCCAGACGTAGTCTTTTCGCGCAAATTCCCTTGTGCGCAGCATGGTGTTGACTGCCTGCTCGGGGTCCAAATGCATACAGCCTTTTGAGTAAGGCGGACGAGCAGTGCGGTTTGGATCTTGGAGGATGTTGACGTGGTGGAAGCAGTCGCCGCCCAAGAGTACAAACGAGCTTTCCTTGTCACCAGAGCCAGAAGTCGTTCTCACTAGCATCATCTGGTGCCCTGGTGAATGTCCTGGTGCATCGATAATGTACACTGCTCCATCACCAAAGACATCGTATGCCCGCTCAAAAGCACCCAGACGTATCCACTCTGGTTTCTTCAAGTCAACAGCAGCATACTTTCCTCCCCTCAACCCTTCCATAACCTGACCCGCTCTCTTGTCTCCAGTATCTTGGAGTAAGTCATCAGGTATATAGCACTCTACAACCTTCCTGCTTCCATCCACAGGCAGCGTGTCACTTAACGTCGGTGCCCTCTCCTCAGCGGGATAACCTGGACGTGCATAAGTACAACACGTTGGTCCCACCCACAACTCTGCGCCTTCGAATCCGCCTTTTGCCCCATCACCCATATGATCAAAATGCATATGCGAGAAGACGACAGCCTTGATCTTCTCTGGCTGCTGCTCGGGTGAGCCATGTTCTCTGAGAATATACTCAGGAGACTTGGGCTCACACTTGAATACGGGAAGTACAGTTTCCTGGATGAGTGGGGGTAGATTTTCGAGGTCTGGCCGTATGCCGAGGTCAAACATGTACTTTGTTCCGGATGCTGTATGCTCGATCAGGAAGACATAGTCCGGGGCGTAATATGTTTTTCGCTCCTCTTTTGATGCTTGTGATTCTGAGGGGTCATTGGGATTGTCCGAGTCTGGAAGCAGGACTAGGTCATAGGGGATGTAGAGGCCGCCGGCTTGGATGAGGTGGACTTTGCATGTTGCGTCCGAGTGGGGTATGGGATGCCATGTGATTTCTGGGAATGTCTCTGTCATTATGACAGTTGGGAGGTGTGAAGAGTCTGGAAGTTGATGTTTGACATGTGGTGTGGCTTTAGTCTTTGATAAGATGAGTGCAGTAGACCAGCTCAGTAAGCTCATGTAGTGTTGCGGGTGGTTTATGACGTCACATACATTTTATAGCAACTTTGGTAACGTGCTGGATAAGCGAGTTGGCCAGGCAAGCGAGTTGGCCACCCCACCAAGTTTGCGCATCTTTATGAACGTATATCTCAACAACGCAATATTATAATATATAGAGAGTAATAGAGTGGACTAAGTAGTATCTAGAGTATCTTTTTTGCATGTACGCGAATTATGACCAGTCTCTCTACACCTGCTACACCGCGCTAGAGCCTGGCGGCTAACACCTGATCGCTCCCCTCCTTGACGCTCTTCATGAGCAATCTGCTGATCAGCCTCGCGCTGAGCGAGTAGATCCTCGCCGGCTCCCTTTGTAAGGACTCCACGCTTCTGTATCCGCTTTTTCTTACGTTTTCTACGCTCTGATACTGCTGTATTAGCTTTCTCGAGGCTGGCTATCCGATCCCGCATCAGCTCAGCTGAGAGTATCATTACCTCAGCTCCCTTCTTAAGCTGGTTAATCGCCGCGATAATTGAAGCTGGT